GGTCTAGGGTTTAGTGGCTTAGGGTTGCAGGGTTTAGGGATTGTGAGTTCTTGTGATGAGCATTCGAGTTCTGACAATTTGCGGAAGCTCCTGCATGAGCCTTGGCGCTGGCAAGCATTTCGGGAGACTCACCAGCCTAACCCCCCCAAAACTTCCAACCCTAAACCCTGCAACCCTAAACCCTGAAGCCTGAAGTATTTGAAGGTCCTAAGCCCTAAACCCAAAACCCCTAAACCCTGAACCTTAAACCTTAAAACCCTAAACCCTAAACCTTAAACCCTAAACCCTAAAACCCTGAACCTTAAGCCCTAAACCCCAAAACCCTGAACCTTAAGCCCTAGACCCTAAAACCTAAAACCTTAAACCCCTAAACCCTAAACCTTAAACCTTAAACCCTAAACCCTAAAGATCCGAAGCTGAAAATCTTCAAGCCCTTCAACGAGGATGGAATTTTTAGGCTCTGGGTTTAGGGTTTGGAGTTCAGGATTTTGGGGGCATGAAGGGTTAGCGGTTGAGGGTGTAGGGGGTTTTGTTTGAAGATTTACGGGTGTAGGGCTCAGGGATTCAGGGTTGAGGGGTTAGTAAGGGTTTAGTGCTTAAGGTCAGTAGAGGGCTAAAAGAGCTTCGGTTTGAGGTTGAGGGTTTGAGCATTGGGAGTTCTGTAGGATACTTCGAGGGTCGGGGGACTTAGTAAGTAGTTGTTTTAAACACTTATAAGTACCATAACTTCAAGTAGAGTCCCTTTTAGGTTATTTATAAGTCTGCTTATTACCTACTTACTACGTCCCCCGACCCTCCAAGTAATGTCAATAGAGGGCTGAAGGAGCTTCGGTTTGCGGTTGAGGGTTTGAGCATTGGGAGTTCTGTAGGATAGGGGGCCAGGATCGAGGGTGAAGGAACTGAGCTTTAAGCTGTATGGCTCCGAGTTGAAAAAGCGCACAACACCCTAAGCCCCAAACCCTAAATTACTAAACCCTGAATCCAAAGCCCTCAATTACTGGACCCTGAGCCCCAAACCCCAAACCCTAAATTGCTAAACCCTAAACCCTAAACCCCAAACCCTAAATTACTAAACCCTAAACCCCAAACCCTAAACCCTAAATCCCTAAACCTTAAACCCTAAATTACTAAGCCCTAAACCCTAAACCCCAAACCCTAAACCCTAAACCCTAAATTACCAAACCCTAAACCCCTAAACCCTAAACCCCAAACCCTAAATTAGTAAGCCTTAAACCCTAAACCCAAAACCCTAAACCCTACACCCCAAATCCTAAATTACTAAACCCTAAACCCTAAACCCCAAACCCTAAACCCCAAACCCTAAATTACTAAACCCTAAACCCTAAACCCCAAACCCTGAATTACCAATCCCTAAACCCGAACCCTAAACCCCACACCCTAAATTACTAAACCCTAAACCCTAACCCTAATCCCCACGCCCTAAATTGCTAAACCCTAAACCCTAACCCTAAACCCCAAACCCTAAATTACTAAGCCCTAATTCCTAAACCCCTAAACCCTAAACCCCAAACCCTAAATTACTAAACCCTAAACCCTAAACCCCAAACCCTAAATTACAAAACCCTAAACCCCTAAACCCTAAACCCCAAACCCTAAATTATTAAACCCTAAACCCCAGACGCGAACCCCGCCGTTTAGAGGAGAACTTCTTCGACCTGGGAGGGCACTCCGCCTTGGCGGCGAGGTGCTTCCGGTGATTCGGAAAAAGGTTTTTTTGGGTTTAGAGTTCGGTGTTTAAATTTTTTGGGTTTGGGGTTTGGGGTTCGGGGTTTAGGGTTCGGGGTTTAAGTTTTTTGGGTTGAGGCTTTAGGGTTCGGGGTTTAAGTTTTTGGGTTTAGGGTTTGGGGCTCGGGGATTATAAGTTTTTGGGTTTGGGGTTCGGGGTTTAGGGTTTGGGGTTCAGGGTTTGAGGTTTGGGGTTTAGGGTTTGGGGTTCAGTGTTTGAGGTTTGGGGTTTAGGGTTTGGGGTTTAGGGTTTAGAGTTTAGGGTTCTGGGCGTACTAAACGGTGGCAGAGCCAAGTCACAAGACAAGCTTAGACCACGCTTGCCCCGTGGCATACCCGGGACCGTCTAGCCGCGTCGATGCAAAGCCCTCCTGCAACCTAAACCCTGAACCCTAAACCGCGCTCCCGCGCTTGTGGATGGTCAAGGCGAAAAGCTTCATTACGAGGCTCTATCCGAGACTTCCACCGAAGCTTCTACCGAGACTCCCACCGAAGGTTCCATCGAGGCTCCTGTCGATGCTCGTGTCGGAACTTCACCTAGTTCTATCGACAAGACGATTATCATCTTCGATGATGAGACGGACGCAGGCAATGATGCCCCAAGTTCATCACATTTTATTGAAGAGTACGCAGGGCAAAATGTCTCTTCAACAGAAGAGACATGGAACAGGAGCCACAATTCGTGGAACGAGCGTCCATCGGACCAATCATGGGACAGGAGCCACAACACATGGACAGAACCCTAGCAGGCCTTTTCCTGAAAAACCCTAAGCCCTAAACCCTTAAAGCCCCAAGCCCTTAAACCCTTAAACTCTTAAGCCCCAAACCCCTAAACCCCTAAACCCTAAACCCTTAAAGCCTTAAACCCTAAACCCTTAAACCCTAAACCCTATTTTTTTGCCGGACCTTAATTTCAGGCTCAGGTCAAAGACATGAAACATGCAAAAAGTTAAGAAAGTTTAAGGTTTAGGGGTTTAGGGGTTGGGTGTAAGGGTTGAAGGGTTTAAGGGTTTGGGGTTTAAGGGTGTAGGGTTGAAGGCTTTAAGGGTTTAGGGTTTAAGGGTTTAGGAGTTTAACGGTTTAGGATCTAGGGTGTAGGGTTTAGGGTTGAGGTTTAGGGTTCAGGGTTTACTTTTTTGGTCACCATAGTTTCTTCTTATGGGATCCGAACCATAAAGTAAGTCATCCAAATAAGGTACTGCATGTAGGGGTCGAGGTAGCCTGAAACAGAAGGGACCCGGGCAAGGGATGCGTGGTCCCAGCCGGCGATAGTGCCTGTTGAGCTTGGTCACAACATGACAGCCTGCGCTGCTTCCCAGTCTTACTCCTGAAGGTTCCTGGTTACAAGTAGAGTACAAAAGCCCCCAAAAGGCTACTCTAAATACTAAGTCTCCGATAGTGTGCCATACCGTAAATGGGTTAAACTGTCACAAGACCAACCTACCGGCCCCCAAAGCTCGAACTTCAGTTGCGGGTTCAGGGGTGGTATAAGGATTCTATGGGGGTTTCGGGTTTAGGGTTCAGGGTTCAGGGTTTAGGGTTTAGGTTCGATTATACGGGTTCAGGGTTGAAAGGTGCAGGGCTCAGGGAGTAAAGCTTCGTGCGGCTTCGGGCCTGTAGGCTTGGAGGTTTAGGGTTTAAGGATGGGCTTAGGGTTTAGGGTTTCAGGGCTTCAGGGTTTCATGGCTTCAGGGTTTCAGGGTTTAGGGCTTCAGGGTTTCAGGTGTCAGAGTTTCAGGGTTTAGGGTTTCAGGTTTCAGGGTTTTAAAGGCTTTAAAATATATTTGGGCCCTGCCGGAATTTTGTCGGGGGTGTCGACCTCAAAGCTTCATCCTTGGAAGGATTTAGGGTTTAGGGTTTGGGGTTTAGGGTTTAGGGTTTAGGGTTTAGGGGCCTTAGTAACTATTCTAATTACTAAGGCCGATTCATGGGGGGTTGTCGAACATTGAACATTGGGGTGCTTACAGTGTGTTGGAGTTTCAGAGCCGCAAACCCTAAACCCTGAACCTTAAACCCACCCTAAACCCTAAACCCCAAAGCCAGACTGAACCCCGAGTGTGCAGCCCATAAAGACCCTTTGAAGCCCTCCTTCTCACAGAAGCTTGGGAGCATGGTGATGCCGATGTTTTTGCGCGGCACACTGCCACTGCGGACTTTTACTGCCCGCAGGTTACGGCCACTTGCCCCGCGCACGGCTACATGTGGAATTTTTACATGGACACTGATGGTGTTCTGCGCTACAAGGTCTTGAAGGGAGAATTATTTTGGAGCCAGGCTATCGCAGCCGGCACTTGCCTCCATGGCATTTTTCCCAACAGACCAGGAGACTCCGGATCAGGATTTATGATTCCCCAGACCCAGATGCGCGCTTACTTGGCGTGCATGTGGGAGGGAACGAGAAAGACGGCGAAGACGCCGTTGGAGTCTTTGTGCAAGCGTCTTACATCTTGGAGGCGGCGATCAGAGTCAGCTCCCAGAGAACGAAGGAAGTTTTCCCGAATTGGTGCTCCAATTTGCACCACAAATTCGTCGCCGGACTGAACACATCTGAAGTCGCTGAACGGTTTGCGCCGAAGGAAACATTACGCCCCCTAAACCCTGAGCCTTAAACCCCAGACCCTATAACCCAAACTTCAGACCGCAGACAAAAGCCCTAAACCTGAAACTATATATATATATGTATATATATATATATATATAAGTTTAGGCCCCAGATATACGTATATAAATATGTATATAGGTATAGATACAGTTGAAGCCGCCTCAAAGCTTCAAAGCATGTTGGATTCAGGATGGCGACCGAGTTGTCCGGCGAGTACAACTTGCCGATTACGGCCCGCTGGGAGGGAGCCTTTAGGGTTTAGGGTCTCGGGTTTAGGGTTTGGGGTTTAGGGTTTAGGGTCCTGCAAGAAGGTGTACTTAAAGGATCATGCCACTTAATGTAGGGGCCTTAATAATTACCAATGTTACTGTTAATTACTGTTAGGGTTCCTTATTATACTAATACTGCAAAGGAGCCCATAACCATATTCTAATGATTAAGGCCCCTACATTAGTTAGTAAAGTTATTCAGAAGTGCCTTACTGGGGGGATAAGTAATCATGAGAGTATAGTTGCCCTATTTATAACCTTAGTTACTAGATCCCATGACCCTTCAAGTGGGGTTCTTACAGTTTGGGGCTTAGGGCTTAGGATTTAGCGTCCATAAACGTTTCTAACGGGTTCAGAACAGGTTACTTTGGGAGTTCAGCTCTTTTTTCCGGACTCGTGGGCAGCCTTGAGTAGGGCAATATAGGAGCCTGTAGAATTACCATTACCTTGGGGGGTGCTTATCCTAAGTACAGTATAATATACCCCAAAACCCTATTCTAATTATTCAGGCCCCTACATCATAGAACCCTTTTAATAGCCCTTATAGAACCCTTTAAGGAACCCTTTAAAGGAGCCCCCAAACCCTATTCTAATTATGAAGGCCCCTACATTGTACTTCCTGTCACATCCGGATCGAACCGGCCGCTTGGCTGAGCTGAGCCCGGTCGAAGAACCCAAGAGAGTCTGCAAACGCGGAGGCTAAACCCTGCATGCGTCGTTTAGGGTTTCCCTGAGCTTCTCGAACCCTTAAGCCCTCTATATAGGTTAAGGGACTATGGGGGTTAGGGTTTGGGTTTAGGGTTTAGGGTTTAGGGTTTAGGGTTTAGGGTTTAGGGTTCAGGGTTTTCGGTTTAAGGTTCTGGCTTAGGGTTTAGGGCTTAGGGTGTCTTGTCGGAGGTGCGGGGATTTAGTAAGCAGGCAGCAAGTAGAGTTGCAACTATCCTAAGAGGGATCCTAGCTGGGGTTACGATATTCGAAACCCTAAACGATTAGCCAGTTACTTACTCCCGCGACCCTCCACGCCAAGAAAGCCCTAAACCCGAACCCGAAAACCCAAGAAGCCCAAAACCTAAACCCTGAATTTAAACCCTAACTCCCAAGAAAGCCGTAAACCCTGAACCCTAAGCCCCGAATTTAGAGCCCTAAATACTGATCCGAAACCCCAAGAAAGCGCAAACCCTGAGCCCGGCAGGTCCTGGACATCTACTCGCACTCGACGCTCCAGGCTCCTCGTCTTTAGGGCTTTAGGGTTTGAGGGTTTAGGGCTTTAGGGTTTTAGGAGTTTAGGGTGTAGGGTTTGCAGTTTAGTGTTTTAGTATTTTAGGGCTTTAGGGTTTCAGGGTTTGGGGTTTTTAGGGTTCTAGGGTTTAGGGTTTAGGATTAGGGGTTGGGGCTTTAAAGTTCCAGGTTTCCAGGATTCTAGAATCTTGAAGCTTCAGGCTTTAAGGTTTATTGGCTGGGGTGTTAATGAAGCTCTGGCTTGAGAAATGCAACCTGAATCACAGAGGGATCCTCAGTATGACTTCGTGTACATTCCTTTGTAAGGGTTATTCGATTTGTGGTGTAAGGTCCCGGGCTCACTCGCTCGCTCTCTCGCCCTATGCCCTCTGAATCTCTCCTTCCCTCTATCTCTCTGTTTCTCTGTTTCTCTCTCTAATTCTCTGGCTCTTTGTCTTTCCTTCACAGTTTCTCTTTTTCTGTTTGGCCTCGTTCGCCTCTTTCGCATTGACCTACCTACCTCCCTACCTCCCGACCTCCCTACCTCCGTACCTCCCTACCTCCCTACCTCCCTACCTCCCTACCTCCCTACCTCCCTACCTCCCTACCTCCCTATCTCCCTATCTCCCTACCTCCCTACCTCCCTGCCTCCCTGCCTCCCTGCCTCCCTGCCTCCACCTACCTGCCTCGAGGTGTCTGTTTGCAGACTCAACAGCACGCTTTTTTCATTCTACACGCATCCTATCCTCTCCTTGGCCCAGGCTCTGGGGGTCCCCGGTCCAGAGGTCTTGCGCCAAAAACCCTTAATGTAGGCGACGAGTTACTTAGTAATGCGATTTTCAGGGTTCCTTAGTTGAAGTACACTATACCCTTTGCTCCTGTACTCTACTCGACAGTGCTGTACGGGATTCAGCAGACCACGCTATACCGCCGAAAGTTATATTTAAGAAGGCCCATTACGAGTGATTTTCAAGCTTCGTCACCTATCTACTAAGTTAAGTAAGACTGACTTCCGATCTTCGCCTCACCCAAGAAAAAATGCCAAGCTGGTCATGAGTTGGAAGAAAGGCGTCTACGGTTCAAGGGTTGAGGGGGTTCTGGGTTTATCGGTATGAATAAGTGACCCTAACCCGTTGAAATGCATCAAAAACCCTAAACCCTAAACCCTAAACCCTAAATCCTAAACCCTAAACCCTAAACCCTAAACCTTTAAATTAAAGCCGTTCAGCCTCAAACCCTGAGCCTGCCTAAGGCGCTTTGCGACTTCGCGGAGTCCAAGGCGCAACTGGAAGGAGGTGCTCCCCGGCAGGGAGGGCTCGGGGTGTAGGTGTAAGAGTAGGGTTTAGGGTTTCTCCTAAACCCCTAAACCCTAAAGCCTAAACCCTAAACCCCTAAACCCCTAAACCCTAGACCCTAAACCCTAAACCCCTAAATCCTAAACTCCTAGACTTTAGGGTTTCGGGTTTCTGTAGCGGTCTTGTTATGATTGCGGTTAGTGGTCCGGCTTTGGCCCTGAGCCCTAAAGACGAGCTGCGAGACTTTCCAGGACACCGGGAGTAGGACGACGGACTCCTAGGTAGTATTTGGGAGACCCCTTAAAGGGTTATGGCTCGGTTTAGGGGTTTAGGGTTTAGGGTTTAGGGTTCAGGATTTAGGGTTTAGGGTTTCGGGTTTAGGGTTTAGGATTTAGGGTTTAGGTTTTAGGGTTTAGGGGATTGGGTTTAGGGTTTTGGGGTTTAGGGGTTTGGGGTGCAGTGTTTAAGGTTTAGGGTCTAGGTAGTATTAGGGAGACCTTTCAAAGGGGACCCTTCTTAACCCTACTTACTTGGAAGATCTTGGGACTTAGTAAGTAGGTTATAAGTACCTTGATTGGGGTTATACGTAATCATAAGCACAGAGACCGGATTTATAACCTCAGTTACTAAGTCCCATGATCCTTTAAGTAGTATTAGAGAGACCCCTTAAAGGGGACCCTTCTTAACCCGACTTATGACTCTCTTGAAAGGGACCTTATTGAGAGACTCTATATCATATCCCCAAGCGTCCTCCTCCGTCTCCGGATGGAGATTGCGCTCGAGAGTGCAGAAGCAAACGCCAGACACCAGAACATCCCTAAACCCTAAACCCCAAAAACCCTAAACCCCAAACCCTAAACCCTAAACCCCAAACCCCAAACTCTAAACCCTAAACCCTAAACCCAAACTCTTGAAGTCTTACAGGTTTCGGCCTCGGGTTTATAGTCTTGGAGTTGGGGGCTCAAGTTAAGTAATCCATTACTTTCTTGGGTGGGTGGGATGATTTCCCGAGTTTAGCTCGACTAGAAAATGCTGGTTCTGGACGTGCCGAACCTTAAACCCGAAACCCTAAACCTTGATCTCGACAGCTGTGTGAGATATACTGCAGAGAATGCGATTACTCTCTCAGCTGTGCGCATCGGTCTTTCAGACGATGAGTACAAGGCAATTTGCTTCTTCGTCAATTCCGGTCGCGAGAAGCAGAATGCAAATCCACAGGCAAACCTGATGTTCAAGATGGATAAGCGTGAGCAATCCTCATTGGCAGATTATTGGGTTTGCGACAATCTGGGAACTTACCTCAGTATGCGTGGACTACCAGTCGAGTTTTGCCGTGTGAGTAAAACGTGGCTTCTCTTGAACCCTGAACCCCCATCAACCCTAAGCCCTAAACCCTACCACTTACCAAGAGCTAAGCGTGTACCTCCAATTATGGTATACCCAAGCCCGAAAAGCCTGGCCCTTCTGACCCTAAGCGCTTGAGCCTCCAAAGAAGCTATGAAGTTTAGGGTCTAGGGTTCAGGGTTTAGGGTTTAGGGTTTAGCGTTTAGGGTTCAGGGTTTAGGGTTTAGGGTTTAGGGTTTAGGGCTTAGGGCTTCGGGTTTAGGATTTAGGGTGTAGGGCTTTGGGCTTTGGGCTTAGAGTTTAGGGCTTAGGGTTTAGAGTTTAGGGTTTAGGGTTTAGGGCTTAGGGTTTCAGGGCGTAAAGTTAAGGGTTTAGGGTTTAGGGTTTAGGGTACAGTGTGTAGAGTTTAGGGTTTAGGGTACAGGGTTGAGGGTACAGGGTTTACGGCTGATCACAGGCAAACCATGTGGGTGGTTGTCAAAATTAGGGTCCATTTTTTGGGTCCTTATTATAATACGGCACCTATTATTTAGGGTACGCCAAAAGGGACCATAATTTTGACAACTACCCATGTATAGAACTCTAAGAGCTTCAGAGAGATTTCTCCAGATTTTATGACACCCGTAGAAAGCACCAGCAAGCATTGCAAACCTCATGAAGAACCCTATGAACCCTTATAAACCCCCCACAATCCCGAGACGACCGTGTAAGCCCTGTAAATAAAAGCTGAATACAACCCTAAACCCTAAACCCTGAACCCTAAACCCTAAACCCTAAGCTTTACGCCCTGAAACCCTAAGCCCTGAACCCTGAACCCTAAACCGTCAGGTGGTTTGCAGGTCCTCTCGCCGAAGAACCACCGCTCGGGTCTGAGTGAAACCTGGCTTTGGGTTTGAAGAGGAAAGGAATTCGGGGTGTAGGATTGGGTTTGGGGTGTTGG